CATGGACACGAACTCGAAGGGAGCCAAGACCTACACCGCAAGGCTTGGTGATCGAATTCTTTGGGACCTTCATGAGGACAGGGATGTCTACAACGAGATGTGGCAGATCCCAGTGGTCCCTATGCCTAAGGAGAGGCAAGTGGCAGCAAGCATCAGCACCAAGGATGGAGCGGTCGGTAGCGACGATGGCGCGAACGGTCGCGCTAAGGAGAATGAGCTCAAAAAGAGCAAACCTGGAGGGACCAGCAAGTTCAGTGAACCTAAGGAGAGTGGTGCAGCAACCAAGGAGCAGCAAAAGGGTGAGGAAAACCCAGAGGCAGCAGCGGAGGAGGACTACGGAGAGAGTATGTGGGGCGCTATTGCGAGCGCGGCATTCTCCAATCCAACTTCGGCTACGGGGGAGTGTGATTGGCTCACCTTGCATCGACGCATGGGGCATGTGGCCCTGCCCATCTTGCAGCAGCTAGTGAAGAATGAGATGGTTGCTGGCATACGTGTGAAGGGGGAGCCCGATGAGGTGCTTGGCTGCCCGACGTGCATTCAAGCCAAGTTCACCCGGTTTCCGTTCCCTAGTTCGGAGGCAACGGCAAAGGCACCGCTTGATGAGGTGGTGATGGACGTGGTGGGCCCCCTGAAGCTTGGAGCTGCTGGAGCTGAGTATTTTCTCACCATTGTCGACGTCTACACCCGCATGACTTGGGTGTACGTGCTGGCCAAGAAGAGCGACGTGGCTGAAACGTTGAAGACGGATTGGTTCCCGATGGTGGAGCGGCAACAAGACCGTCTAGTCAAGTCAATCCGCACCGATCGAGGGGGAGAGTTCCTGAGCAAGGAGTTTGGGTTGTGGCTGAAGAAGAATGGTATTCGGCACTCCCTCACCATGCCATACTCCCCTGCAATGAACGGCATCGCCGAGCGAGCGAACCGCACAATCACGGAGGCGGCACGCGGGTTGCTCATTGAAGCCGGGCTACCCGACTATTTCTGGCCTGATGCGGTGCGGAGCGCGTGTGTGGCCAAGAACAGAGCCTTGACTCATGTGGGAGCAGACAAATGGGTGCCCTATGTGGAGTGGCTAGGAAGGAAGCCAAAGGTGGATATGCTTCGGGTGTTCGGGTGCATGTGCATGGCGCTCGTGCCTAAGCATCTTCGGCACAACAAGCTTGGTGCCAAGGCGGTGTGGGCCGTGCACTTGGGCATGGCTCAAAACAGCAAGGGATGGCTTCTTTGGGACCCATTCACCAAGAAGTTCTTGGTGAGCAGGGACTGCAAGTTCATGGAGAACTTCATGTACAAGGATTGGAAGGCGGAGAATGAGGCGAAGATAGGCGTGCGGTTTGGGGAGGTGAAGAGTTCCGGTTTGGAGCATGTGGAGCTGCCTTTGGAGCTGAGCAGTGGCAGCACAACCACAAGGCAATCCTCCCTTGTGAATGGGGGAGAGGAGGCCAATGATGCAGAGGAAGAAGAGGAGGAGGTGCAGCAAGTGAGCGAGCGTGCACCGTCACTCCCTTCCCGTACTACGAGTGCTCCACGGATTCGAGCCACACCGCAGCAACGCCAAGGCCTTCAAGTCCCTGCAGCTGAGGAGGAAGGAAGGGGGAAGAGGAGAGTTCAACCCCCTAATAGGCTGACCTATGATGCGCCGGGAAAGCAGGGCAAGACAGCCCTGGCCGGAGCGGCAATGATGGTCGGAGACGACGAGGAGAGTGACTACGAGGAGTGTGCCTTCGCGTTCTTCTCTCCGGTGGAGATGCCGGGAGAACCAGCAACTCTCAAGGAGGCTTTGGAGAGTAGTGATGCTGAGGAGTGGAAGAAGGCCATGGAGAGTGAGCTGAAGAGCATCGAGGAGAATGACACGTTTGAATTGGTGGAGCTACCGGAGGGGCGTACGGCGATAACGTCCAAGTGGCTCTTCAAAATCAAGTCGGATGCCGACGGCAAGATCGAGCGCTACAAGTCTAGGCTTGTAGCCAAGGGGTACCAGCAGAAGGAGAAGGTGGACTTCAAGGAGCTGTTTGCCCCTGTGGTGAAGCCGACGACGCTGCGAACCCTATTCGCGGGAGCCGCCATCAAAGGATGGGTAGTAAAGCAAATGGACATCGTAACGGCATTCCTTAACGGCATCCTTGAGGAGGAGATTTTTATGGCGCAGCCAGAGGGGTTTGATGATGGTAGTGGCAGAGTGTGGAAGCTGAAGAAGGCCCTCTATGGGCTGAAGCAGGCCCCTAGGCAATGGTACATGAAGCTGCGCGAAGTGTTGGAGGGGATCGGCTTCACTCCCTCAACGGCCGATCACTCCTTGTTCATGCTTGGCGAGGGGGAGCAGAGGAGTTTCATGGTGGTTTATGTGGATGACATCCTCATTTTCTCACCCTCTTCTGACCTTGCGAAGGAGGTGATGCTGAAGCTTCAAGACAAGTTCAAGTGCAAGGCCCTTGGTGACGTGAGCTTCTACCTTGGGCTCCACATCGAACGAGATGTGGAGAAGCGGTGCATGCGGGTGCATCAACGAAAGTACCTGGAGGCATTGGCTGCCAACTTTGGGCAGAGTGAAGGCCATGTGGCTACACCATTTCCCTCTGGGTTCAAGTGTGTGAAGGGACCAGAGGAGGAGAGCGTTGGTGAAGAGGAGAGGCGCCGATTTCACTCGTTGGTGGGCAGCCTCATGTATGCGGCGGTAAACACCCGACCGGACGTCGCGTTTGCTACCGGGCAGCTGGCTAGGGTTGTGCAATGCCCTAATGAGGAGCAGGTAGCAGCTGGAATGAGGGTGGCCAAGTATCTTGGCCAAACACCGACCGTTGGGCTGCAATACTCGGCGGCGGCACAAAGGCGCCAAAAGGGCGCGGATGGTGTTGAACCCGGGCGTTTGTTCCTCACCGCCTACTCGGATGCTTCATATGCATCAGAACCAGAGGACATGACAAGTGTGGGAGGCTTCATATGCTGTGTTGGTGGAGGCCCAACTGCTTGGGAGAGCAAGAAGCAGGTTGACCAAGCTTTGAGCTCGGTGGAGTCCGAGTACATGGCACTCTTCCGTGCCGTACGGGAGATTGTGTGGCAGCGGCGTTTGTTGGCTGAATTGGGGGAGGAGCAGCAAGGACCTACCCCACTGTACTGTGACAGCCAGGGTGCCATTGCTCTTGCTAAGAACCCTGTGTTGCATGGACTCACGAAGCACATGAGGGTGAAGTGGCATTGGACGAGGAGCATGGTAACCGCGGGTGAAGTTGAGTTGCGCTACGTGAAGACCACGGGGCAGCCGGCTGACATGATGACCAAGAGGCTGGTGGAGCAGCAGCATTGGAAGTGTTGCAAGCTGGCTGGGATGGCTCTGAACTGAGAGAGCAACATATCCTAAGGCCAACAATCCGAGGGGGAGTTTGTTGGTGCAACCCTACGGTTTGCACTCGGCTTGTTGTCCGTGTGCGTGAATATGTGTGTGTGTATGGAATGGTATGAGGGCATGGGATAATATATATTTCATGCTTATAATTGTGTGTGAATGTTGAGTCATGATGTCGAGTGTGTGTGTCGAGTCAATAGCGAGTTATCGCTAGACGCGTGTTACGCGGTCGTTTGTGTCTCGCGCGCGGTTTCTATTTTGTCGTGCGCGGTTTCTATTTTGTCCTGTGTCGAACGTTCGGCGTGTCGCAGGTGTGTGCAGCAGACCCATCAAGAACTCAAGGATGAGTTTGTGATGAAGAGCCCGAGCCTTGGTGTCAAGCCTCAAGTGATTTCGAAGCTTGCCAAAAGGGTACACCTCAAGATATTGAAGATAGTTACATTACTTTGTGTAGTGTAACATTTCACTTGGTGTAGGCCCTAGTGAAGGGTAGTTTCGAGACCCTTCGTGGTTGGGGATAGTGTGGCACTGTTCCACATCACTGTACCTCGGCTCTTGGGGTTTGTAGGAGCTGGGAGTCATTCCCAACTCGTAACTCTTCCTATCTTGTGTTCTAAGACTATAGTGGCTGCCATAGTACCGTTCGTTCAAACCGACGCTGTGTCGTCAATTCTTTATCAAATCGTGCAATCTAAATTGCTAATTGTAGACGACGTGAAGACGCTCCAGATCCAATTTGAATAAAGTCATTTGCAGCTGTGAACAGAACGCTATCAACGTTTGAAGCCGCTGTGCAGAAATCCGTCTGTGCTCTCTATCTTTCGTTTTAGGCACATTCAAGCCTATTGTGACTATAACAGGTGCAGCAGTGGTGGCTGATGCTCCTGGTAGTGCTGCTGATAGTGCTGCTGCTGCTGTGGTTGTGGCAGTGGTGGCTGCTGCTCCTGGTACTGCTGCTGATAGTGCTGCTGCTGCTGTGGGTGCGGCAGTGGTGGCTGCTGCTCCTGGTAGTGCTGCTGATAGTGCTGCTGCTGCTGTGGTTGTGGCAGTGGTGGCTGCTGCTCCGGGTAGTGCTGCTGATAGTGCTGCTGCTGCCGTGGGTGCGGCAGTGGTGGCTGCTGCTCCTGGTACTGCTGCTGATAGTGCTGCTGCTGCTGTGGTTGCGGCAGTGGTTGCTGCTGCTCCTGGTAGTGCTGCTGCTGCTGGGGGTGCAGCAGTTGTGACTGCTGCTCCTGGTAGTGCTGCTGGTTGTGCTGTTCTTGCTGCTGATATCGCTGCTGATGCTGCTGTTCAACAGGGCCAGACATGCCACGCATGCCAACAGCGGTGAACTGCACGTCACTGGGCCACTGCCCCGACATGATGGCTCTCGTCCCACGAGATGTTTGCTGCAGCCGATCGATGCCATGGAAATTGCTCAGAACCCCCCCTGGTCTCCCCTGCCTTTGGTGTTGACTGAGCAAAGCTCATGATATCGCTGCGTCTGTCGCTGCCTCTGCCACATTCCTTCGCTTCCGCTTCTGCTTCCACTTGCAGCATCGTTTGACTCGGGGGGCTGCTGTGGTGAGCCATGGTCATGGTGAGAGGCGTGGCAGCAGTGATGGCCCACGACTGTAGAGGGTTTGAGGCGACAGAAATCTGCGAAGGTGCTTCCTCAAGGTGCATGGATTCCGCCTCCAGCACCATTTGCGGCTGACTGTGCCATTGTGGCTGCTGCTGCTGCTGCTGCTGCTGCGGCTGCTGCTGCTGCTCCTGCCCCTCCTGCTGCTGCCACCGCCCTTCTTGCCGTGAGACATGTGGGTGAGGGGAATGGAAATACAAATCCACATTTCCTATCTGAAGGTCTCCACCTAATGCCATCTCTGTTCCAAGATACATCTTGTCCCCTTGCACTATCTCTTCTGCAGGCACAAAACCTAAACTTCCAGTCCCCACCTCTTCCAGAAGAAAATCCTCCTGTCCGCATTCCTCCTCCACACCGCCATCGCCAGCAACAGCAACCATGCGTGCAGAAGCGCCAGGGATTGTATTGAAGTTGGAACACGGCTCTCCAGGCAGAAACATGGCTGGAGGGATGGAGAGGATAGAAGCAGGCGCGGAGACAGACGAGGTGGAAGGGCCAGCTCTACTCGAGCTGCTTCCACTGACAGTGCTGCTGTCGGCACGCGCCGTAAACCCAACAACATCCGTGCCCGATATCGCATGCGCTGCCACTTCAGCTTGGCAGCCCTCTGACTGTGCCTCCATATCCATTGCCTCTCCATAAGCCATTTGCCAGGCTCCAACTTCACACAGCCCCCCACCCGCTGCCTGCTCACAGCCCATTGCCTTTCCATTTTGAGAAGAACTTGTGCCTCCCTGCTTGTCCTGCTCAGCAAACATCCTCATCCCCAAGCTAGACGTTTCAATAACCTTCTCTGAAGCAGCTTCCCCATTTTCTTCGCTTACTGCTCCTTCGCCCCCCAGAATCACCTCAGGGAAGTTCAGCTTCGTCTTTGTCCCGCGAATCTCCACTGCAGCTCGATCAAACGCCAGGGCTGCTTCCTCTGCAGTGGCAAACGTCCCCAGCCACTTGCGCACGCCGAAAGTTGTGTCCTTTATCTCGGCGATAAATCGACCCTCACCTCGCTTCCTCACTCCTCGGTACTTCCCTGGTTGCGTATAGCTCCGTGTTTGAGGTGCATTGCGCTTGTTCGTTGACTCCGATTGAGATCCGCTTGCGGGAAATTTTGTGGCGCTGGACGTCTGTCGCTGCAGTAGCGGCTGCAGCTGCGCCGACAGTTGCTCCAACCTGAGCTGCTCGTGTGGCTGCTGCACCGGCTGCGCCTCCATCTGTAACTGTGTCTGTAGCGGTTCTTCTGGGCGGGGTGCTGGTGTGAGCTGCTGCTGTGGCTCCTGCTGCTGTTGCATCAGAGTGCTTTGTGCCCAATGCACTTGTGGCTGGGATGGCACGTGCATTTCTGAAACTGAAGCGGAAGCTGATATTTCGGGGACGTTCTCGGAATGCCTGTTCGGCTGCTCCAGCAGCGGATCATGGTCGTCCTGACATATGCCTGGCTGCAGGGCCTCCGCCATGAGTTGTCGCCAACTATCTGATGGTAGCTGCCCCTGGCCGGGCTGGGCAGATCCCAAGGGTCTGGGCATGTCGTGCTGTTCTTGCTGCTGCTGCTCCTGTTCATGCTGCTGCTCCTGCACATGCTTATGCTCCTGCCTCTGCTGCTGATGCTGCGGTTGATGGTGATGCATCTGCAGCTGCTCCTGCCCCTGCCCCCGCCCCTGCGTCTGCAGCTGCTCTTGCCCCTGCTTTTCCTGCTGCCCCACCTGTTCAAACAATTCTGACTGCGATGTCCCATGCAATATGATCGGTGGTGCAGCCGTCATGCTCCCGTCGAATCCCACCAGAGTGCTTGCTTCCATGGTCTGTTGTGCGCGACGAACATGAGCCTCCAAGAGCCAGATTGACGACCCTTCATGCGTCAGCAGACATGGTGCTGGTTGATCGGCGCGCGTGGGTTCTTGGCCAAAGTTAGAGGAAAATTCATGGTCCGCGAGCTCTTCTTGCCGTGCGTGCTGCATGGGCGCTCCAACTACCTGATTTGGCCGCTGCCCGTCGGCATCAGGCTCCGACTGCTCTGGAAAGGTGTCCATGCTCCGCTCTTAGGCTGTTGAGATGTTTTACGTTGCGGTAGAACTGATCTTGGGCTTCCTTCGATTTATTAAATCAAATTCCCCCCATTGTGGCGCACAGTCGTAAACATCACGTCATCGCAATTTTGCGATCCCAATTTCTGTCTCGTCACGGCCTAGTAACTAAAAACTCGCTTTGGGGACAGTTCATATGATTGACACGGTGCCCCTGCGACTTAGCCCAAACCTGTCTCTACATGAGGCGAATCATGTGAGTACAACGATGGGGTGACGCTTACTACTAGGTGCTGCTCTAAATTTGCCGCAAGTGGCTGAATAGTATGACTAAGCCAGCCGGCGTTGGAGCAGTTACTATGCTGCTGGGAGAAATAAGAAAGTCTCGGCTCCAATAACCGCGTGGTAGCCAACTTGACTGCTTACTACTTGTCAAAACCGTGTTGACTTCAGCTCTTTGGATTACTTTCGTGGCACAAATTGGCTTCTCGTGTGGTGCAAGGGTTTGTGAAGGAGGAACACAGTGAGTTATTTGACCCAATCCATGGATAAAACCTACATACATTCGAGCAAGTACAAAGATTGTTGTGCAGGGAATTCCTCCAATTAATTATAGGCTGACTGGATTGTCACCCCCAGCTCATGTGTTCTGACTGGAATTTACACCAGGATCGTATACGCAAAGAATTGTCACAATCACCACGTTTCTCACGGTTTGAAACAACGTGTACCAATCCCGCAACTGTTTTCTTCAAGTAGAAACCAGGGTTCCCTTCAGGTTGGGGGGTATATAGATAGTCCCTCAGGGTTCTGAGTCGGGTTGGAATACATGTACAACTGTTCCAACGGTCTGTATTTTCGCTTTCATCAAACTCCCCCCTTTGCCGGTTTGTCAACTGGCACAACACATCTCATCTTCTCTGTGTTGCCTTTTCAGCGAATCACACCACCACCATCACCCCTGATTGTTGCCGTCACGGCTTATTCGACCGGCTGATTGTGACGGCGAGAAACTTATGAACACGTACATCATACTACAAACAGCATGCCATGGCATGTATTTTTTTGTCCAGTCTGGTCACGTACCCAATCTCACCAACTCTTTCAAAAAATCGAAGTCATGTACCAGCGTAAACCCACCCCAAAACGGCGTTTTCATGCCCAGAGATTTACCTGACAGGCAGTCGATCAATGAGCTAATTGGATAAGGGTCACGGCTTAACGTTTTTAGTTCGTGACGGTACGTTAAACGCGTTAGAAAACGTCCGTAGTCGGTGAAAACCCAGAGCAGTTTTTTACCCTGCTTTAACGTACTGGACCGCGCTGAACGAACGGACCGTGATCGGCTCTAGGCTTGACCGTCAAACGTTTCTGACCACTGTCATTGGCCATATTGACATCAATGCGTCCAGAATGATCCCAGAACATACCATATATGCACATTTTCCCGCACTCAACCGTACGCCAAGGCAAGTTTTATTCTATATACCGTTGTATACCGTTCTACTGGAGTGCATTTGCCCGCCACCTACCTGGGGTTCGGTTGCAAGAACCAGATCGCTAGGGTCCAAGCAACAGTACGCACTGTAGCCAGTGCTTCCCATTGTCAGTCTGGCGAGAAAGAGGGTGAATTTCACTGCACACATCTGTTCCAGCAGATCAGCAGGGGAACTGGGTGGACTCCTCCTGCCGGAGACTTCGATTCTGACTGCGGGCAAGAGATACATGACAATCCAGATGAACGCCATGTACTGTACAGTAAAACTTCGAAATACGCGAGGAAGGATTTCCTTCATACAGTAAATGCGTTCCAATATAAATCACAACTGAGCCTCAGAAAGCTTTCACTCGATCTGCTGTGAACGACCAGCAGGAAAAGGACATGCCCAGCGATGACATGTTTCTTCTTTGGGCGGTGGGGCTTGTTGTCAGCAATCTGGGCCCGCCGGCAATGGCATACAGTGCATATTCTTCAGGCCGGCAATTGATGTTTTCGGGGAGGTCACACCAACATGTAAGTGGGAAAGAGATGACTGTATAGCTGTGATCTTGACACATACACACAGGATTCATTGCACAAAAATGTACATAAAACATTTTTTTTCTAGCACATCGCAAACTAAAACTTCTAGAAGCTTCGACGGCATCATCATAACGATCATTCATTTGCCGGCGAGGAAGTTACTGAACCAACCAAGCTGCCCCACAAACACTCCCCCCCATCCCCCCCAGTGGCAGGTGGTTGTTGACTCTCGCTCGACTCAAAGCTCTATGCACCAAGTCAGCACAGAAACATCACGGTTTCAAGGGGTGCCTCCGTAGTACCGAGGTGCCTCAGGGTGCATCCAAGTCGAACATCCTAGCCAAGCTCTCGAAAAAACCTTCCGAGGTTGATACGCTATACACCTGAAATACATTCAAACGTCCACATCTGCCAAGATGTTAGTTGGCGGATTTTGCGCAAGTGCAATCGGTACACAGTATCTTGTACAGAATATCGCTGTACTGCCGGGACAAGTCTTGCCACGGTTTGGGGGATGCAGCAGGAACATGGAGCTTGACTCAAGGCATGGGCCCAATCAAGTTTGATCGCCTCCATCAGATGCGATCAACAATTTCTAGGAAGCCTGGAAGCCAATTTTATGCAATCAGGAGCAATCAGCTGATCGCGATCAGCTCATCGCCCTAACTCAATCAGACCCGATATTCACCCCGATCAGAGTCGATTTTCCTCGATCACAGGCGATCACATGATTGCATGTGATCGGAGCCCACAGCGACGCATGCGAGTAGTTACACTGTTAAAATTACAGGGAAACGAAAAATTTCGCCAGGTGACGTACGGTCGCCAATCTCGCTAGAATGGAGACGAAATTGCGACGTAAATGTACAGCGCTTTCTCCGCAGGCGCTACTAATCTTCTTCGAAAAACATCTCTGATCGGGCGGCTCGGGCACTACGATCACAAGCAATCCGATCAAATCCGACCCGATCAGATCAATTGCGATCAAACTCGATTGGGCCCACACCCTCACATTTTCCTTTCCACTCGATTGCGATCAACCCTGCTAGTTCTTCGAACTGGCAAGCATGCAAATCTACAGTTACACCGAGAACTCTTCCCTGGGCAGGCAACGATTGTGCACAGTTCAAGTAAAATGCTGATGCTGCAGGCTACACCATCTTTCTCGCCATTGTGAACTCGGTTATAGGGAAGTCAAGATGGGAAAAGCAAGGTTAACGGTGGTTAAATCAAGTCTCGGTATGGTTCAATTAGACAAATCGAAGATAGCAAGGTTTTCCACCAGTTCGGCACAGTTCAACGTAGTGAGAAACAGGGTGTAGTTTGTCTGAACAGACCGAGAGAGACGACAAAAACGCTTGCGAAATCAGTCAGCAGCAGTGCTTTCTTGGTACAGATTGGTTCGGTCTGCAAACCGATTATATTGGTTCGTTTAACACCCACAGATTTTCGCGCCAAAACTCGAGCCGCTTATCGTTACGAGCGTGGAAACACCAGACCATTCCTCCCTCCCCCAACTATTACAGTGCGCGGAATATATTACTATGAAGAGAAAGTGACATTACACCCTCATTCTCATTTAACTGGCATCTGGTATACTGACCGGGTTGCTTTGTGTAACCGCAGCGTGTCACAAGGTAAGAAACGAGAATGAACAGGAGAAGGGGTGTTGCACTAGCAGGCAGTTGAGTACATATAGGAAACCCAAATTTGGGCTGTACTCGCTATAGAGTACCCCACTGCAGGCTAGACAAATATAACATTCTGACATACCCTCATAGTCAAATTGGGGTATAATCAGCACAACAAGCAGTCACAGAATTGAAAAGATTAGGAGGTAGAGAAGTTTAGAATGAAGAAGAAGAGAGGGTTCACTAGAAAGCAGCAGGATACATATAGGAAACCCTAAGGGGTTGTACTCGCTATAGAGTACCCCACTGCAGGCTAGAGAACAATGACATTCTGACACACCCCCATAGCCAAAGTGGGGTGTAATCAGCAGAGCAAGCAAAGCAGAACAAGCTCAGGGTGGATCACAATGTCACCACACATTCTGAGCACAAGTACAAGAAGCAATAGTTTAAAGTTCACAATTATGAGCAAAGCTAGAGGCTATCACAGAGGGCAAGTGAGGAGGAGGAGGCGAGAGTGAGAGGAGAGGAGATAGGAGGCGACGGCTGAAGCTGCAGACACACGGGCAACAGGAGTCACACTGGCACAGCGGCTACCGGAACAACGCTCCGGACTACTGGAGTAACTGGCTCCGCGGCTAAAAGTAGCGGCAGACGAGCAA